CATCTGCTGCTGCTGCAGCTGGCGCTGCTGCAGTTGGTGCTGCTGCAGCTGGTGATGCTGCAGCTGGTGCTGCTGTAGCTGGTGGTGCTGCAGCTGAGGCTGCTGCTGCAGCTGGTGCTGTTGCTGCAGCTGTTGTTGCTGCTGCGGGTACGGTTGTTGGTGCTGGTGCAACAGCTGTTGTCCCCATGGAGGCAATTCCAAGTGATGGTGCGGCTGCCCCCAGCAGGAGGCATTGGCAGCAAAAGGGAATTCATCATCTTCGGTGAGGTGCTGCTGCTGCTGTTGCTGCTGCTGCTGCTGCTGCACATGCGAATGCTGCTGCACGTTCCTATGCTGCATAGCAATTGCAGCCGCAGCAGAACTAGCTGCTCGCGCAGCAGCGTGCTGCTGAGGCGGAGAATGAGAGCATTCTCGTGGCAGCAGCTGCTGCAGCAGCAGCTGCTGTTGCCTCTGCCCCACTGGGCAACGCAGCAGCAGCTGTTTTCTCACAGGTCTGTAAGGCCTCGCAGCAGAGGAAGTTGCTGCAACATTCGCTGCTGCTGCAGCTGCTGCCGCTACATCCACTCTGGTATGAGGACTGATCCGTTTCAGCAGCGACATGGCTTATGCCCAGCTCTGGCCTCCGCAGCAGCAGCCGGAGCAGCAGCTGCAGCTGCTGCTCCGGCTGCTGCAGGAGTAGCTGCAGTTGCTGCAATGTATGGAGCTGGCTCACGTGGCCCCACTATGAAATCCGATTGGCTTTGTGAAGGCATCGGAGGCGCAAACAGAACTATTAACGGGAGATCTGCTGTTGAGTCGCAACGAAGCTTACTGCAGCTGCAGATGTTGCTGTTGTTGCTGCTGCTGCTGGCATTGCTGCTGCTGCAGCGGTGGGCTCAAAAGATGTACACAGCAGAAGGCGATCCATGAGGAAAGCAGCAAACTAAAACTAATTAGAAGTTCTGCTGCAGTTGCTGCTGCAGTTGCTGCTAATGTTGCTGGTGCTGCAGTATCGGAGGCCCACGAGGCCCACTGGGGCCCCCAGTGAGGCACGCCGGGGCCCCACACCGTTTTCTTTTTGCAGTTTTCTGTCTCTTCCTAAATTAAATAACTGTTTTTATTGGTTTATGATCAGAAGCTCTGCACTGCAGTTGTTGAGGTGTTGTTGGCAGTGCTGCTGCAGCGTCACCCGCCGTGGCAAGAGGGGGCCCCAGGGGCCCTATGAAGCCTTGCATCTCTTAGGGGCCCCTAGGGCCCCTCAAACCAGTAGGACTGCCGCAGAGACGCTCGCTATGTCCGAGGCGAGTGCTTGCAGTGCTTGAACCCCGGAGAACAGCGGCGAACCGCAGGAGCAGCAGCAACGACTGCAGCAACTGCAACGGCAACACAACGCGTAAAGAAACAATAAGGGTCCTCGAAGCCGGAACAGCAGCAAGGCCAGACGAAACGGCAGGCGGACCTCTGCTACTGCTGTTGCTGTTGCTGTTGCTGCTGCTGCTGCGGCTACGCAGATGACCGCCGGTTTCCTTCTGCCAAGATCCTTTTGCATTTCTGCTGCTGCTGCTACTCCTGCTGCTGCTGCAGCGCAAACAAGTTCAGCACTATCCCCTGCTCCTGCTGCTGCTTCTGCGGTGAGGGACGTGGGCTGCAGGGGCCTCAGGGGGTCCACTGCCAGCTTCACCTTGGGGCGCCATGGAGTATGCACAAACATCGGGGCAGCAACCGCTGCAGCAGCAAACGCCGCAGCAGCAACTGCTGCAGTAACCGCATCTGCTGTTGCTGGCCAACGCTCATGGGTGCGCATTCGCGCCGCTATCAGCCGCGGCAACTGCGTAGCTGCTGGGCAGCCGCGGCAGCTGCAGGAGCGCCAGCCGCTGCAGCAGCAGATGCTGGTGCAGCAGTTTGCACAGCATCAACAGTATCAGCAGCCGTGGCAACAGCAGCAGCAGCGGTTTGCTAAGATCGTCCGGTGGT